CAATTGCAAACCAGCAATAAAGGTATGGGCACTTCCGCAGGATGTACCATAAATCGTACAGAAGATAAACAGTACATTAGAGTGGTTCAGACTTCATATATCCATTAGTGTGGGGTCTGTTATCTCATGAGGGCTAGAAGTACAGGTAATCTAGGATTTAAATGAATCATTTTTCTTGAAATGCCTGTTCAGCAAAAGTATTAGGGTTTCCTGTCTGTTTTTTGTTTTGTTTTGTTTTGTTTACAAAAAAATGTTTCAACCATCAGAACAATCTTAGCATGACCAAAATCTCTTGGCTATCATACATTTAGCAAAATTCTTTCTGGTACTATAATGTGTGTTTTCTGTCAGCTGAAATTTACAGGAATCATTAACCTCAAGGATTTCCTGAGAAGCTCCCACATGCTGTGTCTAAGGTTCTTCATATTTCTTTTGGCAGCAGTAACATTGTCCAACACTACAAAATTATACTTTTGCTGATAATTTCTCTTCAAGAAAACAACTTAACTGAAACATTTGTGGTTCTGTTTTACTTGAACCAAGGGAAAATTTTTAATACAGAAAATTACCACCACCTATTCCGCCTTACCCTCCACAAAAAAAGTCCCTTTCTAAAGCTATCAACCTATAATAATGCTCACTATATGAAACAGAAATTTCTGCATATTAATTTATATGCCTAATAGAAAACTTTCAAGTATAGTGATTAAGCTATTGCAATAGGGAGTCTCACCTTACTCTAAAATAAAAATAAAAATAAATTATTTTATATTGGGTGATCAGTTTTTAATTCTAAAACATTATCTGCCTTTTTCACTCTTATCCTCCTGTGCATGTACAGAGTATGAAAAGCTCATCAATATGGTTTCATACTCCACATTAAAATGAACCTTTTCAAAACTTAAAACTATTGTTGTTTTGTTATGGCTATTCCTTGATAATACGATTACCAGAAAAGACTGTTAAAATACTTTCAAACTATCTGTCCAAGGCTTGATTTTCTTCCAAGACAATAAATTGTAACAGATTGAATGCAGAAGCAAATATAAGAATCCAACTATCTCCTATTGAGCGAGACAGTAAAGAGATTTGCAAAAATGTAAAACAATCTACTGTTCTCAATTCTGTTTTTTAATTTTGGGAAAATATTTTTCATTAAAATTATTTACATTAATATAGGTGTTGGCAAAAGTAGGTTTACAGTTGTAAGTATACAAAACAGTTTTTTTCTTGTATTATTTATTGATCATTGTACTATTTTCCATATGAACAACTGTAAACCTACTTTTCCCCACCCCTCTATCTGGGTTTATTATTATTGTAAGTAAATAACTTCTTTATTTTTTGAGTTTTTGATATGATAAATATCGATAACCACATGAACAAAAGGTCTTTGGGGCTCTCAGTAATTTATAATACCTTAAAGAGGCCTGGAGACCAAAAACTTTAAGAACCACTGGCCATGATGTGGTTTTCTGAGATCTATCAAGTAATACACAGGTTATTTAGTAGTTTCAGGGGAAAAGTGATAGTAATTTTATTCCCCAAACATATTTTAAAAATAATATAAAATAATAATTTACTAAAAATCCCATTCTGGTATCCCATTCTGTATTCTTAAAAGTTCCTCATGTGCTACAAGGTATATCTTGGTCAGTTCATCTCAGCCAGTGTTCAGTTTATAAACCAAGGGTTGGTTGGTTGTCCTTTGTGCTGTCATTGGTTAAATTCTACATTTTCTCTGGCTCAAAAGCATAAAAGTAGAAATAAAACAGCAAAATGCTACAACTCAGAATACCATCATAAATATAGTGAGTAGAGCTTTAGTGTCCACACAGTCCAAGTTTATATGTTAGAAAATGATAGGATTCGCATTAAAGTCAAAAAGGAAAAAGTGCTAGTCTGAAATATGATGATGACTGGAATTACATTTTATTGGACCTGCAGTACCTCCACCCCTAGTCTCCAAAGGTTGTCTGCTCTGAAATTTTGTCAAGTAGTTACATTAAAACCATGAAACAAAGCACAGTGATGGTCCCTGGCAAGCCAGAATTTTCCAGAACTGTAAAACAGTGCTTTCTAGGATGAAAGTGATGAATTCTGTCACTAAAGGTGAGGAAGAAACCAGAACTACGGAGGTTTCATTCACAGTTGTAGAGCACAAATGGATACGTCATGCCTTGGACAAGAAGCTTGTGAGACCAGCCAAAAGCCTAAAAGTTTTACGTTTGGAAAAAGAGCAGAATAAGCTACCGGTAGAATTACTGTATTAAATGACATGTTTGAACATTATCACTATATCATACAGGATAAACAGGTATGCTATTTTTGTGAAATATGCAATAGCAGGTGTTCCAGAGTATAGTGATTCAAACTGTGTGTGCTTAGTTGATGTGCAAAACATACAGCGTGGGGCAAAAGTAGGTTTACAGTTGTGAGTACAAGAAACACAAGTATATTCTTGTACTATTATGTAATAATTATTGTATTATTTATTTGTATTACAACTATAACCTAATTTGCCCACCCCTGTATATGGAAAACAAAGTATTCACTGTTTTTCTTGTGTTTAGTCACCCCTGTCCCCGCCTCCCCCCAAAAAATCTGTTACAAATACTCCATTTGGTTATTTTGTGAGCTGTGACATAAACTGGAAAAGGAAGGGACATTGGGGCCAGTGCTGACACAGCATTACAATTTGAATAGAAAGAAATTTGGTCCCATTCCCACTCCCCAAGCCTCTTCCAAGAGAATAGTTAGCACTCAAGAGTGTGCGCCTCTCGAGTTCAGCTGAGTCTTTAATTAGAACAGGAGTCAAACTAAGACTGTTGGGTCAGATTTGTCCCCTCTTCTGTGCCTGTGTTTATACGACTGGTGAACAAGGAATGGTTTTTTCATTTTTAAGTGGATAGGTACAATACCAAAAGAATAATATTTTGTGGCACATGAAAATGATAAGAAGTTAAATATTCTCATAAATAAAGTTTTATTGGAACATAACCACACTCATTGGTTTATGATCATCCGTGGCTGCTTTCACCATGTAGCAGCAGAGTTGAGACGCAGACCATATGGCCTGTGAAACCTAAAATATTTACTGTCTGGCTTGTCATAAAAAAGTATAACTCCACTTGATCCATCTTATTTATTGTTCTTCCCCATGGGAGTTCATCTGAAGAAAATATTCTACTGCCTTAAAAACAAGTTTGTTTTTTTAAAAGTATGTAAACTTTTCAAAAGGTCAGCCCAAATGAACTAACATTTTTGTTCTTTTGCCACTCTGATGATTCATAGTTCAATTTGAAAATACAGATTAAGTAGTTCAAGGCAATATTTGAAGATCCATTACAGGTGATGTAAAGATTAACCATTTGTGACACCAGAGATTTTAAATCTAATAGAGGTATCCTTCTTATATTATAATTTGCATATTTTCTCAAGAGAGATTGAACATAGTTAAAAAGGAAGGCATTTGACTCCTCTTCTTATCTCAAATTGAAAGTCAGCAAAATCCTGCCAGTCCAGCAAATTCTTGCTCTTCCTCATTTTTCCAAACTCAAGGATGTACTTCCTAAAAGTGTTGGTCTAATTTAGGTGTTGATCCCCTGTTTCCATTCCTGTAATTTTTCTTTGCACTCAACTATAAGTAAGCTGCTTTGGCATCTTCCTCTGTAGAGACCAAAGGGACTCTGTAATTTTAGTTAGTATGATGTATTTCATAGTGTCAGCCTTGGGGTTAGATCTATCCTGATTTTTTTTAGCTGAGTGAATCTGTTTCCTCAACTATGAAATGGAATAACAGTAGTAATGATGATGATGATGATGATGATGATACCTTGCATAGTTTGTTGTGAACCTTAACTGAGATGACTCATGTAAAATGCTTAGTTAAGTAGTACTGTGACAGCTGTGTTGCTCTTTGTTTTGGTGGTGGTTGTTATTTTAAATATTAAACATTTGGTTGAGTGGAATCAGGTTTATTTTTAAACATGTCACCAGCATTGTACTTCAGAGAAAGCTAAAAGTTAAAATTAAAGCTTGTGGTTTATCCAAAAAGAGTTGTCTCATAGATTTTCGTCCAATAGCAATGGTGATATTTCTGTTCAGTGGGATTGGGGTGATTTTTTTTCTCATTTTTTCCAAAACCTGCTCTCTTTTCACATAACTTATATAAAGTATAAAGTGAATGCTTACTGTGTCAGGGACTGGTCTACTTGCTTTATATTTATTATTATTATCCCTATCTTTAGTTGAAACAGCTGAAGCAGGAAAGGATTATAAATTTTCATAGTTACCCAGCTAGTAAGAGGCAGAGCTGGAATTCGAAACTGTAGTCTGGCTCCAGAGTTTGTCTCTAACCACTGTGTTCTAATGCTTTCATTAGACACACTGACTCTCATTTGCCATGTGTTTGTACATAAGGTTATATTAGATAGCTTTCTTGGAGTTTTTTCTTACAGAGCTGGGTACTATATGTGTTATGTATAATACAATAATACATAGTTGTGCTTGACTGAATCAATGAATATGATGTTATAGTAAAATTATTAATATAGTATAATCATTGCCTAATTCTTCTTGGCTTCAATTAATAACTGTTTTTCACTATAGGTCTTCTTAGGAGCTATATATAGCCAGGATTGGCTATTTTGAAGAAACCTACACTAATACTACAAAAATTTGGGCAAAGTAATTTCTTAGCAAATTTATTTATATTTCTAAATTAATTTTTCCTTGATAGTACTCACTCAGAAATATTGGTTTGTTTTATTTAGAGTTTTCACCTTTTTTGGGTTCCTCTGATAAACTATTAGTTGATATTTTAGCATTGTGATGTAATTCATAATTCAGTTCTTTATAGATTAAGCCTTAAAGAGTTTGTGCATAATTGTGAAGTTTGTAGAGTTCAGTCATGATTGTGAAGTTTGGTATTGAATTTGGCCTCTAAAACTTGAAATAGTAATGATGTTAAAATTTGTTTTATTTTATGTCTTTTTCAGAATTCTCCACTTTACCAGTACTTACAGGATCTGGGGCACACAGACTTTGAAATATGTTCTTCTCTGTCACCAAAACCAGAAAAATGCTCAGTGACAGAGGGACAACAAAAGCCTCCTGTAAGAGCCCTGCCAAAAGTAAGAAAGCATGCTCGTTCTCCACGACTTGATCTTCTGTTCTTTACCTTACAACAAAACAAAAACAAAAAAATCCTCCATGTCCTCTCCAACACTGATGAAACTTGACTTTTTATTCATCAGTAGTACAAAACTGCCTGTTTAAATAAATGTGAATCCTTGCAGTTTTGGACTGTTTCATAGGTGAAATGTATAACACATGGAAATGAAAATGGTTGAAAATCAAAATATATTATTTATTTAAATATTGAAGTTATCTGGAGAGGACCAGAAAAATATACTAAAACATTAATGAGAACCCAGCTTCTGGGACTCATATTGACTGGAATAATTTTTCTTTAAATATATTTCTTAAAAGAGCACAAATTATAAGAAAGCAAACTGATAAGGTATTTCACAGTTTCAAGGATACATCAATATCTGATGCCCTTTATGTCTGTAGTATTATATACTTTTATATATACCTCAGAGTTGATGTGCAGCATTATGAGGCTAGGACACTAGAAGAATCACCATTAATTATGTTCTATAAAATTCATTGACCTAATATATTCACTTGTTTTATTTGACATATTTATTAAAATACAAAATATTCTAGTGCATTTCAGTATTAATACAAAGAATTCTAATTTAATAAGAAATATAGCCAGATTACTAATTTTTTTGAGCTAATTCTAGTTTAATCAGTGTTTTATTACAAGACTCAATTATTTTCAGGAGGTGGCTTTGAAAGTTTTCAGTTACTCATTTACTCTGTGGTGATAGAGGTCGTTTCTCCTATTCTTTAAAAAATCCCTAAAATGTGAGGTAACCAAGCTGGGCCTGTTTGCAACAGCAAGTTAAATGCCAGAGACATGGTTTGGGTTTTTCTGCTTCTTTGTTTTGGTTAGTGTTTCTGACTAACACCTACAGGACCAGAGTTGGGGAGTGATGGCTCACGTGGTTCAGAGCCAGTTTGCTAGTCCTCTGTACTCAAACCCTGCCTTCTCCTTGCCCTTTCTAATATGGACGTTCCTGGGAAGGGTTTTGAAAGGAAGACCTAAAGATATATCTAATAGAGTATTTGTAGATTAAAAGTTGTATTTGAGATTACTTGGTAAGAAAAGACATGGAAAGGCCCAAGGGATAATCTTGAGGCATAGCATGCACCTTGACCTCTGTGTGGTGGTAGGGGGCAGTGCTGGGGGAATGAGGGTGTGGGGGTGCAAACTTATGTTTTGCAGGTGTTCAGTCCTTTCATTTATGACAAGTGTTTTTACATATACAAATGTTATTAATTTATGAATAAATAAAATAAGAGTTTAAAATTTCATCCCCTCAGAAATCGAGGAAGAGTAAAAAGCGTAGCCAGAGAGTGTTTTTCAAAATTACCACATGTCTAGAAAGTTTGTTTAGTCTTCAACATACACAGTTCAGCTGTATGAGCTGTATTTTTCTAAAATGGAGTTTTTCTAAATCTGGGACAACTAAATTTTAGAAAATTACTATACTATTTAGTTCTTTCTCAGTGGATGTATTTTTAGAATTGCCCTCAAAATTCGGTTCAAACAGTGAAGTACCAGTTATTTTCTTTGGAAGGCAAAATTTTTTGTATAATATGAGTTTATAACGAAATGGTTCTTAGCACTAATACCCTTTTTTAACTTTATTTTTTCATGTGATTGTCAAGTACTTACTGAGTAATCTGTACCGGTATTCTCACCATAAGTATTTATTGTCTATACGTTTTTTTTGGCTTTTTTCTTGTGATTTTTTTTAAAAGAATCAGTGGCTTGCCTCTAATTAGTTTTAATCCTTAAACTCTTAGAAGTGGAATCAATCAGAAGGCAAGAGTGTAGGAGAATAATTTTTCAACAATTTTCTTATAAACTTATATTTCAGAGTCTTTTTTGGAGTAAAATAGGCTCTTTACTGTTTACAAGGTTATTTCTGAGTTGCAAAGATTCCATGTTTTCCACTGTATTCCCCCATGCAGTCTTGGCTGCCACAATCAGACAGACAGAAATCATGAGAACCCTCTTTTTTTTGCGTCTGCACTGAAACCTTAGCAGCAGACAGTAACTGTTCCAGGTCTATCAGATAGGTGCATTTCCCGTGTTTATTCTTAAATGTTCCCTCTGTAAAGTTTAGCACCAGTCCTCTTCTCTGCTTAGTCTGTTTTCTCTGACAGATCCCCTCTACTTCTTGCTTTCATTGGCCACTCATGTCCATTCTCCATCTTTGCCGAGCCCCAGATGTTTGTTAGACGTTTCCACCTACCTGTGCCCCAGGAAGCTCAGATTTAATGTGTCTAAAACATAGCTTCTTTCCTTAGCACCCCACAAATTTTTTTTTATATTTCCAAATTACCACCTTCTTAGTTATCTTGAACTTCCCATCACCCCCACATTGATCCAACCACAGAATGATACGTCAGCGTGGCCGAATCAATGGCCACGCTGACCATTAATCTAAAATCCAACCCCAGTCACTACCATTTTTGCTATCCTAGTACAGGCCTGGATATTATTTAGCTGGCTGCAATCATGCCCTGCCAGTATAGCCCCTGTACTGTTGTCAGTCACTTTTCTAAAATGCTGATTTTTTGTTGCTTCACTCCTTGCATGAAAACCTTAGGTGGCTCCTCACAGCCTACAGGATAAAATCTAAACTATGGTGGCATATGAGACTGAAGTCCTTTAAAACTCATCTCAGTATATCTTTTAACTTTATTACAATCCCCTTGAGTCACAGCTGTCCCAGACTATGCCACCAGCCCCACAGCATGTTCTTGGTGGCTCTGTCCTGTAATCCTCCTGTTCCTTTGCCTGAGTGTCCTAACTTCCTCTGTTGTTAAATTTCTACTCATCTGTTAGGGCTTAGTTCCATTGTTAGCTCCCCTTGGCCTCTTCTTTTTCCCACACTTTTTCAGACTGTGCATTGGTTCGTAATTATTTGTACTGTCTCTTCTGTGCTAAGCTCTTGACAACGACAGTTATGTGTGTTCATCTTTGTTCCCGTGACCCTTTTTCAATACCTGGGATGTAGTGATCACTCAGTGAATGTGAACTCCATTTACAGGCATGCTTAGGAAATGGACTATTAAGGTATATTGAATGTTCGAGTAATTCAATAATATACTTTTTATTTCAATGAGACAGTTTTTCTAAAATTAAATTTTCTTTCTGCCTTAGTATTATGGGATGAAATGTTCTTAATATCTGAGAACTTGGAGAACCCTGTGGTTTTCATCTGAAATACATACCATCATCATCTTGACATAGAGAGTTTAGACTGTACCCAAGATAAATGGGCTGCATCAGAATGATTTCTGACTGCTCATTAAAAATCACATTTTCAGGTCTTATTCCAAACTTACTGATTCTACATCGTTAGTTTGAAGATTCAGGAATATGTTTCTAACTAAAATAGAATCCAGTTGATTTGATGTGCAAGTAAATTTGGGAACTAATAAGGAGGCTGAGACATACTGACAAAGCATATAACCTGGATGATTTTCTCCCTTTTTCTGATAAAAATTGTGATTAATTAGACATGAATTATTTGATGTTTTCCTGCTGCTTGGGTGTGGTTTAATAATCCTATACATCATTCATCTCCTTCAGCAAGGCATTCTGTTAAAAGTGGCTGAAACCATCAAAAGTTGGATTTTTTCTCAGTGCAGTAAGAAAGATGACTTACTTCACAAGTTGGTAAGTGTTCTTTTTACCTTTTTATTTTGTCAGTTTTCAGGGCTCTAGTTTATTAGTGAGAGAATTAACGAATCAGAATTTGTCTCACTACTGATTTGGGCAGTGATTGACTTTTTATTAGAAATTCTGGGCAGTTCTTTAAAAGGAGACTCTCCACTTCATGGATTGTTAAATAAAGTTGTTTCTATCGCCTAAAAAAAGAAAAAAGAAATTCTTCATTAACTGGAGATCTTTGAATTTGGACTCATTCATATCATTTCATAGTTCTAAGAAGTTATTTAGCCACTTAGAATAACGTAGTCTGGTAGTTGTTGAAACCTTACTTGTTAGAGCACTAATTTCCTGCTGCCACCTTCTTCCATTGACAGCTATTTCTCTCAGTAGGGAAGGGAATAGAAATATAGCCAATAGTGGGATCATCTCCCTTTTTCATTAGAAACTTGACTATCTCTATCCTTATCCCACATCCAATGATTACAAAGTTTGGGTAAAAGAAAAAATCAAAAGTGGTTCCTCCCTAATTTATGTATCATTAATCTGACAACTTCAGATTAATTTATTTTATTAATTTATTTACCGTTCTCTGGCAACTTCGTATGTAAAAAATTTGATCTCCTGGGACTGATAAATTACAGAATTTTCCAAAGACTTGGAGTAGTCAACATTGAGAGTTTGTGATTCTGTGTTACTGTTTTCTTTCTCTCTGTGGCAGTTTAGCTATTTCACCTCTTCACCCCCCCTAGAGGGAGTAGTATTTCACGTTTTTATAGTGTAACAATACAAAACTGAAGTTATGATGTTCTTCTCATGGTTCTCAGTAGGAGTGATCAGGTTACAAGGAAGCAGGTTTCCAGGATCTTCTGCTGGCCTGTGACCCTAAGATAATAATTATTATTCTCATGAATTATTTATAAAGAAATGTTTACAAAGTGCTTTCACATTTTGATTTGGTAATCTAAATTTCCAACAGGTAAAATGCACCAAACCTTGTAAGGAGAACCTTGTTAGAAATCCTGAGGTTCAGACTGCTCAGTTTGGTTTAAGAATACATACATGAATTATTCAAGAATGTTCACCTAGTCAGAATTTGCATTCAGATCTCCCGGTTTCAAAGCTCAGCCTTTTTACTGTAATGCACTACCTCTTAGTTTGAGTATTATTATGTGTTGACTGACTCAAATTACTGTTTCAGCAATCCAGAAGGGCAAGTTCTCTGTTCAGGGTTTCATCTTTGTAGGTGTGTTGAAAAGGTCAGTGAAGTGTCTTGGCATCTACATAGAATATCCACTCTGTCCAGGTGGAGCCATCCTCACTCTTCAGTGATACTAGGACTCTGGTAAGGTATATGGGTCCATATACATTTTTCTGTGGTTCAGCCATGATTTGTATAGTCTGATCTTTTCATTGTGGGTTCTTTGTCTCTGGCCACATGTTTCATATCATGCTTCACTATAAAGTGCCAGCTTCTATGTGTATCCCTTTGGGCTTACATTATGGAGAATTGTAGGAAGTAAAACCTAAAAAATAGTTTACTGGTAATGAACAAGGCATTGCCTAGTTGGCTTCTGGCATAAGATTCTTGACCTTTTCCCCTGGATTGTGACATAGTTGAAATTTTGTTAGCTATACAGCTGTTGAACCGGTCCCTCTTTCCTTTCACTAAAATACTGGCAGTTGCTCCATGATATCTGAACATTTCCTCATTGTTCATTTTTATTACAGTAGTATTTCTTTTCTTAAAGATGAAAAAAGTTCCTTCGTAGCAACTATGATGGTAGTGATATTAGCACTTTTAAAGCACTTTTTAGCCTATAAAGGGCTTTCATACATGTTATCTCATTTGACCCTCATTAGCATGAAATAGTATTACATGTTAAAAAGTGTGTAAGATCATTGAAGTGTATCGACACATGAAAAATTCATTCCCTTCGCCATCCCTAGGGCAAAAATATAAGTCTCTTTATTCTTTACCTGTGCTTTTCCTTCCTTTTCATTCCATCCAGGCAGAAATCTTTTTCTCTATTTATATCCTAAAAAGATCCCTATTATATATCACAGCTATCATATCAAATCCAATTAATCATGTCAGCATCAAGAGTCTGCATAATTTGCCCTGATCTACCTTTATAGCCTTATCCACCAATATTTCCATCAGCCAACTCAGTCTTCCTTTGTCTCTATCCCATACCTGTTTTGTCTGTGTTTGCGCTATTGTATTGTGGTAGAATTCTTCCCATTTTTCTGTTATTGGAGCCTTTTCAATAAGCAGTCTAGCTCTTCCCCAAGGCCTTTCCCAGAAACTTCAGCCCATTGATCTCTTATTTTCTGCAACAACCTAGTAGTAATTATCTGTGCTATGATCTGTAAGTTTTTGCATTATATATGCTTCTCTTTATTATATTTTAATTATTTCATGTGCACTAACACACCAGAAGCTAACACTTACATAGCGTTTACTGTGCACCATACACTCCTGGTATTTTACAAATACTGACTTATCTAATTCTCACAACAACCCTATGAAGCTGGCACTACTTATCTTTCAGATGAGGGAACTGGAACAGAGGGTGGGTTGTAGTAAAGGGTAGAGGAAGCCAAATACATGGTGACAGAAGATGACTTGACTTTGGGTGGTGGGCACACAGTGCAATATACAAACCATGTGTCATAGAAATGTACCCTGAAAACCTTCGTGACCAGTGTCACCCCAGTAAATTTAATTCTAAAAAAAGGAAACTGGAACAGAGAGGTTATTAACTTGCTTAAGTTGTGGAACCAACATATAAACCCAGGTACTAATTAGGTTGTGGTGCTCGAAGTTGTTGATGGTGAGCCAAAGTTCACACAGTGCACCTCCCTGCAACATGTAGTGCCCAGCTGTTCATATGATATCTGCTAGTATTTAAGTCCATCAGAATTGGTGCCTTTTGAATTTCATGTGTTTGAGTCTTGGACCTGAGTCCAAACGGGTCTGTTGTAGCATGTTTCTTAATTTAGCAGGTATCTGTTTTCATTGCCGTATTGCAACACAGTTTCTATATTTTCTGCAGTTCTTGTTTTTATAATTAAAGGGTAATAGTTTATAATTTATCTTTAAGAAAAATTTTATTCATTAATCTTATCCAATTTTACAGCTATAATTATCAGAATATAGTTCAAGTTCTTCCTTTGTAAAGGCAATCTAATAAGTGAGATAATATTTTGTTATTTGGAGTATCTTGGTACCTTTTCAGTTAATTTGCTTGTGTAGATGACTGCAGGTTATTAGTTTGTCATACTCTTGAATCAGATATTCCCAAAGCTATTAATACTGTGTCAGAGCACATTGGTTTCGGGTACACATTATCTTAGTTTTGGAGGTAGGTCTATTGCCAAGGAATGGGGTTGAAGAAGGTGAGTTCCTGATTAAGCAGCATGTCTGTAAGAGGTTCTGTGAAGAGGTAATGCTCCTGCTGTGTTAATAGCTTTTCTCCTCTCTGTGAGCTTTAGCCTTGATTTAGTAAGGCTTCTTTCAACTTACCAGTATATAGGTATACAGAGGTCTTATAAAGGTGTGATTTAAAGCATCTGTTTAAAAAAAAAAGCTTAATTTTTTATATTGTATTTGCATGTGTCCATGTCTGATTGGGGATTCCAAACCAAATAGTAAGACCAATATGTGAAGTTTATTTCAAAGATTACTTGAAAATCTACCATGCTTCACTTCCTGCCCCTGTTGCTTCCCTCCCCATCCCCCCACACCCAAAGATAGTATAGAGTCGTGCTGCTCTCTCTTTATGAAAGTGGGGTGGGACAGCAAACCATTAAGTGATTTCTAATCTTAGAATCAGGATTGTTAGAAGGAGGAGGCAAGAGTTCAAACATGAAACATAAAAGTTCTGCTGAGCCCATGCAGAGTGCACCAGTAGAAGGTGAGAACAGGCGAAAAGGAAAACGGACATTCCATTGAAACAATGTTATTGTTTTAGATCAGGGAAAATGAATAAATAAATATCCTAGTGGATAAGCCTAATATTAAAAGCATTCTTTTTCTTCTCCATAACAGTGCTGTGTAACCCGAGATCAAATTGATATATGGATCACTGCATTCCTACTAAGTCCCCATTATGACCAGCTAGGGCTGGACTCTGTGGTGCAAGAATGATTAACTAAGAAGTGCAAACCCACTGCTTTCAAATTCTAGACCTTCCTCTTTTAATTGCCAATGACTTTGTCCTTTAAAAGTTCTCTTTATTTTTATCTTATAGTAGGATCAGTCTATTCCTAAATTTAATACAAGAATGAAACCTTAAATTTTGTGGTGGAACAGAATATATACAGTGAAGCAAAAATGAACTACCAGAGACTTAGGCTTTGAAATCAGACTTCAGGAAAATTAGTTAATTTCTTTGGGCTTCATTGTTCTCCTCTTAAAGAATAAAGAGAAGGATGATAATGTACATCATAGGGTTACTGTGAGAATTAACCTATCCACTTTAACACTGCTACCTCTTCTCTTACCTCTCTACCACGTACACTCTGCATAAAGCTAGTATCAATGATTTGCCGTTCTAGAGAAGCTTTTATTCTGTCTCATCCTACTCTTCCAACTCTTACATCTGGTCAGTTCTTGTTCCTACTTTAAGCTTCAGCTCAGGCATACCTCTTTTACTTTCTCTGACTTCATTGCAAGTTTTGGTCCCTCTATGGCATTTTCATAATGTCCTTGCTATACCTCATTGCACTTCTCTGTTTGCTTTTTGGTCCTTCATTAAACTATGAACTCTAGAAGAGTAGAGACTTGTATGTCTTATTCATTTTTGTGTGTGTCTTGGTGCCAAACGTGGTGCCTGGTATGTATAAGATTATTTCTTGATAGATATATAGAAGGAAAAGAGGAAGGAATAAATGAGCTGGTGTATGTGAAAGCATTTTGCAAACTATAAATGCCATGCACATGTTAATGTGGTTTTACATTACATTCCTTAATGATGTATTTTTAATATCCAAATGTTCATTTTTAGAAGGCCTTGATCCTACTGGCTATACTGTTACAGTATCCAGGGATAGCATCTTATGTTACCAAATTATGTTTTCCATGTGTGTTCCAGCAACTTAATTAATTGGGGTTAACAAGGCAGATTTATTAATTTGTAGTTACTTCACATATTTTTATTAAAAACTTATTTCACATCTGGTGGCTCGATAATATCCACCTCGATTTGTATTGTTTCACATTTACAGTGGAAAAAAAGACACCATACGTTATATGCAAGATAGATTGGACTATTGTTTCTTCTTGGAGTTTATGCTGAAAATAAACATCTCTAAGTTTTATTAGCACTTAGGAGCTTAGCATTTAATGCAAAATTACATATGCATCAATACCTCTCTTCTGGTCTGTTAATGGCAAGGATATTGGATTCCGACTCGACTCACTACATACCATCCTGCAACAGGAAGTCCTGTTACAAGAGGATGTGGAGCTGATTGAGCTACTTGATCCCAGTATCCTGTCTGCAGGGCAACCTCAACAGGAAAATGGACACCTTCCAACACTGCGCTCTCTGGCAACCCCTAATATTTGGTACTGTCCAGAAAACATCTATCCTTTGCTATGTATAGAGTATTCAGAGGAAAGCCATCATCTTGTTCCCCATTGTAAAGACATTATATTATAAACATTCCATACATTGTAGCATTGTGGCTAATTACATGCCATAGGTTTTTTTAAAAGTACCTTTCTCAAGTAAATCCTATTTAAAGTGAAGCTGAAAAAAAAATCTGCTTTCAAATCAGTATAATTAGTTCTGAATTTGACAGCCCAACAACGGGTATGACATGCCAAAAGGAACCTGTCTTACCCATATACCTGTGCATAACGTGTGCATGCAGGCCTAGCCAGTTCTTTGTTTCTTTACAATTGGTAGATTGTATCATAATTACATTGTAGAGCCAAGGGTAGGATGGGACATGGAGTTAAATAATCACCTCTTGCTTTCTTGGCTAAGAGATCAGAGGGAACATAGTCTAATGATTTACCTATCCTAGAACTTTTCAACAATTTCAAATATTTGCATCTAATAAATCCAAGGATAATCCATTAAAAAAAAAGAAAAAGAAGAATGGTAAGAAGGGATTATATATACACAGAACTATTAATATCCTCTTCCTGTTAAAGTATCAGTTTATTAAATGAGGTAAATCATTGCTTAAACTGTTCCAGGCTATACAAGCAATTACATTCATTGGCCTCAGTGTTCTGAGTTCATCTGTCACACTGACGACTGCTTCGTATTCTGACATAGCAAAGTACGATGTTTTCCAAACATCTATCACTCACATATCTTCATGATGTAGTAAAGCATCTTTTCCTTTAAAAATGTAAGAACTTAAGAGGCTGCTAAAAGGAATCATAGGTTTTCAGAATTTTACAACTTTCAAGTTTTCTTTAGCCACAGTTGTGATTAAGCAACTATGAGGCCTGTCAATAATTGTAGACTTTTCTGTTAATACATACAAGTAGATGATGAGAGTTTATTCTAAAAGTACAGGGTGCCACAGTGAATTAGGGCAGGCAAATACTTACTAAGAAGCACTTTTATATGTGACTTTCTTTGTAGTTTGTATTACTGTTTTTCAGACATATCTCTACATTCACTTTTTCTAATGTATTCACTTTTTCTAATGTATACACCTTTTCATCAAAGCCTTCATTGCTTAAAAGATGTGTTTTAATCTGTAGATTTGTAATTGACCTAAGTAAAAATATTTTATACACATTTTTACTGCAGTTAAAGCAGTGTCAAAGTATAAACCTTGTCCATATTATGGTCTACAGTATATGTATTCCAGAATTGTGACAATATAAAATTAGATGGCTTTATTCAAAATAATTTCTCAAGTATATATTACTTCTAATTGGAAAAATGCTTATATTTTCTTGAGATACTATAAATATCTGTTCAAATAATTAAAGTCTGACTTTAGAGAAAAGGAACTCATATTTGAATTTTAATAAAGTATTTTAATATTAAAATTAGTAAAAAGCTATTTTTACTTTTAAATTTATAAAATTGGATTTTTAAATCTATAATTTGTTTTTAGATTAAAGAGTCCATGCCTTTTAAAAATAAAAAGTTATGGAGCTAGAGAATGTTATGCTACATGAAATAAGTCAGAGAAAGACAAATATTATATGATTTACAAGTGGAATCTAAAAATCAAAATAAACAAACAAAACAGAAACAGAGAGCAAACTGATGGTTACCAGGTGGTAGGGGTGTTGGGGGACTGGGTGAAAAAGGTGAAGGGATTAATAAATTTAGATTGGTAATTACAAAATAGTAATGGGGATGTAAAGTTACAGCATAGTGAATATAGCCAATAATCTTGTAATAATTAGGTGCCAGGTGGGCACTTGAATTATTGGGGAGATCACTTCATAAATTATGTACACCTGAAACTAAGCATAAAATAATATTGAATGTCAACTGTAATTGAAAAAAATTTTAAAAACAAACGTTTTAAGTCATGTCAGAAGGCACCTATTTCTTATGTCCTTTAACTTAAACTTATTAGCTCAGATTTTAATATCTAAGGACCATTCTCTAGTTGCTAGATATTTTTACACTATTTCACATGATTTTTTAAAATATCATATTTTTTAAGGTATATGTTACAAAGAAGCTAACATACTATCTATTTTAGTAAACCTAATTTACTGATAAGGTAACCCACCTTTCTCTAGTCTGATGGGTATTATTTTTTGATTTCTCTGTTATAGGGATGTCTCAATGCTGTTTGCTCTCATTAGTTTGCTTATCATGCTTCCCACTTGGTGGATTGTATCTACCTGGCTAGTATGGGGAGTGATTCTATTTGTTTATCTGATCATGAGAGCTTTGAGATTGTGGAGGACAGCCAAACTACAAGTAACCCTAAGAAAATACAATGTCCGTTTGGAAGACATGGCAACAAATAGCCGAGCTTTTACTAATCTTGTGAGAAAAGCTTTACGTCTCATTCAAGAAACCGAAGTCATTTCCAGAGGATTTACACTGTGAGTTCATTTTTTATTTTATTTTTAAATATTTTTTTTACCAAATAGTTAATTTACAATATTTATTACCTATTTTCATTTCTGTGTTACATTTATAGAAAAAAGTGGATTTCTCTTTATAACTTACTAAAGTCTATTAACTGCTCAGTGAAGGACTAAATACATGCTAGATTTAATATGTAGTATGATTGTGCTTATCTACTTTGAGAAACCAAAGTGCTTTGAGAATCATAATTATTTCTGTGTTACCATGTAATTATATGAGCTAATGTAGCAAGAGAGCCTACCATTGAACCCAGCATGCAGTTACTCAGTAAATGTTTCCTTTACTCCTTGTCAGATGTTCTTTCCTCAATTTAACTGATAGATGTATCTAACATGAATTCATTTTGAAAACTTTTGCCATGTATTAATAATGTTCTTTAGGTAAATGGTGGCAGATATTATGGCATGGATGCTCTAAAAATATCATGCAAATAATATTTCACATTCCCATGGTGCTCTGTACTAGTACTGAAATTAATTATCCACCAGTCTAGCTGTAAGTATATTAAGCTGCAGGTTATACAGGCTATTTATTCTATTGTTAAAGGGAAGTTATATGTATTGAGCACCAGGTATGTTCCATGTACTGTGCTAAGCAATTTTGCATACAACCGTACCATCAGGCTCTAAAGCTTGTTTCCAGTACGGTAGGCTGGCTGCTAAAAGCTAACGAAGATTCCTTTGTATTGTAGTATATTTAATATTATATAACATATAACCTTTGCAGCCTATAGGTGGGAGAAAGTAAGTATATGGTGAAGATAATTTTTGCTGTTAATTGTAGTTATGTCTGGAAGATCATGAGGAGGAGGAGCAGAAGAACCTTTGGTATTCATCACATCTTTTACTGAGCCCTGCTCTATATTAGTGCTGAAATAATCTTGATATAAAAGCTGTATCTGAAAAATCACAAAACAGGGAAGTGGAAGAATCTCCAGTAGTCATCTCATTCTTCATTGTCATATTCGGAAACAGTATTTTAAACAATCCCAAGACATGAAAGAGATTTATTACTAATCTTTCTGTTCAGTTCAAATGGAACAGCCCTTGGTATCTGTTAATTTTTGTCCTTCCATTCTTCACTTTTTTTTGATAGAGCATAGCAAATACTAAGTTGTTTGACTGTCAAGTTTTAAAAGTTAAAAATGCACTAAGAGTTGCTTTTCATTCTTCACTTGCACAGTGCTTTATTGAGAGGACTGACTGGGTTAAGCAAAGAGCTATGTGTTCAGTTAATGCTTAGGCATGTATAGAGGGTTCTCTGCCTTTTGTTATTGTCCACCTTTTACCCACATGTATTGAATAGGTATGAAAAGCTAAAATGGTTAACCTCCAGATTATGACTTCTATCCATCCAGATACAGACAGGCAGAAGAAATGTTGGGGGAAAGTGTGCTTCACTTGTCTTCATCTAACTGAATGATTGATTGAAAAAATTATGAGCAATAATACATCTTGAATCATAATATTTTTAGTTTTTAAAACTCATTTAGTAAGTAAAATGGAGCACAAACAATAGTGCCATATGTTGAAAAAAATGAGTACTGTTTTGTTCTGCCTCAATTTGTCCTCTATAACAAATAATTTTACCCTTCCTTGCTGCATTTTTTATTTTAAAATAAGCCTATCAGTCATTGTCCTGTTTTTTAAATAGATTTTTAATGCTTGAATATATTTTAATTTGGTTTAACATTTTTGAAGTTTTGAGTTAGATGTCTTGTTTTACAATCTGTGGGTATAGTCTAAGAAATTTATAAATTCCAGTATTTTGTTTTGCTATTGGGAGACTTTACCGGTTAGGTGGGGAAAAAAACACTCCAATAACCATGTAATATGTAATGATTCATAGTTTCATTTATAAAAGCATAATGTGTTCTATGTTATTATTGCAAATAGACGCTCCCCCTGTATTGTTTGGAAAGTGCTATGCATTGTGCTTCCTCTTGAACAGTTTTGAGAGTAGCTATGCTACTACATAGTAACCCTTACTTTGCCTTTCTACTTGCATTCCCCTGTTGGCCACTGGTCCTGTTACGTTTCTGCGTCCCCTACTTCATTTTGAGTAGGTAAGTGCCAGTGGCAGCAGGTGGGTAAGTCATTTTACCCTACTTTTATGAATGTACAGAAAGCACTTCTGTATAGTATTTGATTGTTCTGTACAAGTGGCCCAAAATATGATTGATGAACATATGTGAATGCATATTAAGAATGTGAAAGTGTTTATAATAAGGCTTTCATACTGTAGATAAAGGTTTTAAAAACTAAATGTAAAGTAGTACCACTTTAGTATATTTTAGCAGGTAACGTGTCTATATAAAAAAGTTGTCATTTTTACATAAATACTCTTACATTTCTACTATATTTCAACTACAATTCTTTGTTTCCCCGTTTTAGAGGAAGCCTTTATACTTTGAGATTTTAATTTTTCATTTATCTTTCTCTGGTGGCTATAAATGTATTAGGGAAATGCCTATTTATGAGATCTGAGTGAGATACTTATAATCATTTTTCTAATGAAAATCATGGAAAAGGAATTTTTTTCTAAACTTAATAGAATTATGGATTTAAGAAACAAAAACTTTAGGACACCTGTACAGTTGTATCACATTTTACTTTTCAAGTTTGCTTGACAGGGTCAGTGCTGCTTGCCCATTCAATAAAGCCGGACAGCATCCCAGTCAGCATCTCATCGGCCTTCGGAAAGCTGTGTACAGAACTGTAAGAGCCAACTTTCAAGCAGCAAGGATAGCTACCCTATATATGTTGAAAAAATATCCTTTTTTGGTCTAAAAGTAAGAAAAAGAAATGTTTCCAGATTCCTGAATATAGATCTTATAGTTGCATCCTGTAAAAGTTATATATAACCTGAGATTGCCTATTTTAAAGCTGATTTCCATCATTACTTCTATTTTAAAACTGGAAATGCATTCCAGGGGAATGACAATAACAGACAGGAAGATAGTTCTTCTGTTGTCATGTGGCTCATTTCTAACAAGGAAAATACTGGAAGGCCCTCCCTTTACTGGTCCAAAGAATAAAGTCTGGCTTTGCTGGGTCCGACATTTTTAAACTTACTGAACATGGCCAATTTGTGTCATGACACGGAAATAAACTGGCAGCAGGAAATCCTTCCCCTTTCAAAAAACAGAGGCTCTAGAGTCAGATCAGCTACCTTTCAATTTTGGCTGTATCCATTGCTGCCTAGGAGACCATAAACAAGTTTCTTAACTCTCTGTACTTTGCTTTATTCATTTTTAAAATGGCAATGCTAACATAGGCTTTTTGACTGTTTGTTGACATCAAATGAGTTGGTACATATAAAGTCTTAGATAGTGTCTGGCACTCAAAGAAAATACATGATAGGGTGGGTCAGTCACTTAAATTTACCAAATCAAAAAATTAGTTGTTAGGTCCTGGCTGGTGTAGCTCAGTGGATTGAGTGTAAGCTGTGAACCAAAGGATCCTCGGTTCGATTCCCAGTCAGGGCACATGCCTGGGTTGCAGGCCAGGTCCACAGTGGTGGCCACATGAGAGGCAACCACACATTGATGTTGTCTCTTCTCCCTCCCTTCCCCTCTCTCTAAAAATAAATAAATAAAACCTTTAAAAATTAGTTGTTAGGAAATAAAGGCATATAAGATCTTTATTTTAATTAAAATTCATAAATAAAGTATGAGTAAATGGACTATAAAGACTACTTTACACCTTCTGTATGCTGGATACTCTAGCATTGTGCATACATACAGGTATATTCACTGTACTATACTACCTGTTTGGAAATTGAGAGAAAGCATTTCCATTATAGTCAAGAACTTAGCCATTTAGTTTCCCCACTGGCTAAATACCTGCCTATTATGGGCTAGGAAAACCGAGCAAAAATGTGTACTATTTACTTAATTTTAAAGACTTTTGAATGCAGTCAGTAGGTAAGTCAGTATTTACAATACAGTGTAAGTGCCCAGTGACCTTCCAGCATAGCAGGACAATGTACTGGACCTGTGGGGTCAGAGGGCTGTTAGTGAAGTGATGCCTGAGCTGACCCTCAAGGAATTAGTAGGAGTTGTCCTGAAGATGGTGAGAGTCTGCATTCCAAGTAGAAGGAAGCAAAAATATAGAAATAGAAATTATGACACTGTGGCATGTTAACTGCAAGTTGGTACTCATTTGGTGAATATTTATTGAGTATGAGCTCAGTGCTCACCAATATACTAGCACTGTTATACAGTGGTACACATAATAAACATAGTTCCTGCCTCAGGGAGCTTAGAGTTTAGTGAGAGGCAGGGGAGCAAGAAAGGGTAGCCTAACAAAGCTCTCAAATTGTGTAAGTTCTCTGTGCCAATCATTTATCTAGACACAGAGCGCCTAGCAGTGTACAAGGCAGACTTGATCCCTGTTATCATGGCATTTGCCTTCTGGTGGATGAGGTGATGAATGAAGAGTAGGCAGATAAGATTTTCAGATATTTGCCATAGAGAAATAAAACAACTCAGTGCAATAAGATAGTGATTGGTGGGTTGATGCTTTTAGTTAGATGGTGGGGTAGGCGTCTCTGAGGAGCCAACATTTAAACTGAGGCTGAGTGAGGAAAAAGGTTATGTTCCAGTTAGATGGACCAGCAAGTACATAGACCTTGTGCAGGAGGAAAGTGGGCATGATTGGAGTACAGGAAGGAGGCCACCGTGACTGGAGCACAGCGAGCAGCTGGGAGTGGGCGAGATGAAGTAGGCAGGGGCCAGATCCAGTTCTCCACACAGGAAACCCTAAGAAATTACAAGTAAATGAATCCACCAACTGTTTCTTTCAAAAGACCAATAAGATGCATTAAATCCTTGCATGCCTGATCAAAATAAAAAGAGTGGAAACATATAACATTAGTAATGAGAATAGACCTATAACCATATATAGAAAAGAAATTAAAAGCCCTGGCTGGCGTAGCTCAGTGGATTGAGCGCGGGCTGGGAACCAAAGTGTCCCAGGTTCGATTCCCAGCCAGGGTACATTCCTGGGTTGCAGGCCATAACCCCCAGCAACCACACATTGATGTTTCTCTCTCTCTCTCTCTCTCTCTCTCTATCTATCTATCTATCTCCCTCCCTTCCCTCTCTCTAAATAGATAAAATCTTTAAAAAAAAAAAAAGAAAAGAAATTAAAGTTATCATAAAGGCATAGTATATGGAATTTTGTGGCTGCAACTTTGAAAATGTAGGGGGAAATGAATCATTTCTTATCAAAAGACAAATCTCTGAAAGAATTGAAAAACTGAAGAGATTAGACACGTGATTTTAAAAAATAATACTCCTTTTAAAAAAGAAACACTTGGTTATATGTAAACAAGGGGAAATATGCAGCTATAAAACATGATAAAGTTCTTGATGCACAACTGTGGAATAATGTTCAAATTATATTGTTAAATGAAGAAAAGCAAAGTGCAGAGAGCAGTGTTTATGTTACCCTCCCATTTGTGTATAGAAGGGATTATGTATATATGTGTATGAGGAGATAAGTGTGTATATGTCCATGTATATTTCTACATACACTTATATCAGGATTTGCTTTTACATGTGTATGTATGTATAACATCCTGAAGGATACACAAGATGCTGGTAACCGGGATTGCCTTTGTCTTTGGGTAGGGGGACTAGGTGACTAAGGAATAGGGGTAGAAAGTAGTAGAGGAAGGCAAACAGAAGCAGTAGCCTGTGCCAGACAACCTAGATAGAACAGGCGTGGTGTTACTCGCCTGGCAGTCTATGCACTTTGAGATAAAGGTCAGCTAGCGGTGTCCCACAGCACACAGACTGGGAGGAAAGCCAAGTATTTACTGTAGGGTAGTGAGTGCCTGAGCCATGATACAATAAAGTGCACAATGTAATACAGTCTCAAAAGGTGTCAGAAATAACTGAAATTAGCCTGTTAGCATTTGTGAATAACTGACTTTTTAATACTTTAGATGTAAAAATATTTTATTCACAAGGAGCCTGTAAAATATCTGAGGTATGTCAATATATTGGATTTTAAGATTAGTTTCTTTTAAAATGATGTAGATCTCCTCCAGTCAAAGTTCACAACAAAGAACAGGAAAGGTAATGCTGGGTAGGTTTAGTGTACCCTTTAGGCTGTAATGAAAAGTCTTTGTTGATTGCCTTAACCTAATTTAACCTACCCCCTGAACTCTGAGAGTGACAATGTGACCAACTACATCTGTGTGGTGCCTTTTAAGGAGCTGGGCCTTGGACTTAGTGAGGAACAGATTTCAGAGGAGGAAGCACATAACCTTACAGATGGCTTCAGCCTGCCGGCATTGAAGGTAATCCATGGAAGGAAGGGAGGGAAGGGCTGATGGAAAGACAGATGCTCTCGGATTGTTCCTGTGCTTTCTGAACACAAATGGTGCACCTGTTCTCTTTTATTGTTTCTGAATACTATCACTGTAATAGCCTTACTGATGTTTTTGAAGCTGCCTGTAAAAGTATATTATAAAGTTGGGTAAGAAGATCCTTATAGTTTGATATCAAAATACTTATAATTCTTAATGTAAGCATTAATTAAAGTTTGGCGATAAGTGAGTTTAATGGGGAGCCAATACAAGTGATTTTATCTACTAGCCATTTGTTTCAACAAACATGAGTAAAGAACTTTGAGGATCTACGTCTTCCCTTTGGTAAATGTCCACAATTCTTGTTTAGAACAAGAATTTTTTTCATATATTAAAAGCCACATGAAGGATACATTTGGCCCTGGTTGGTGTGGCTCAGTTAGAGCGTCCCATAAGCCGAAAGGTCGTGAGTTTAGTTCCCAGTGAGGGCACATGCCTAGGTTGTGGGCTTGGTCCCAGTTGGGACATGTGTGAGAGGCAACCAATCAATGTTCTCTCTCACACTGATGTTCCTCTCCCTCTCTCTCCCTCCCTTCCCCCCTCTCTAAAATCAGTAAGCATGTCCTTGGGTGAGGATAAAAAAAGAGAGAAAAAGAAAGATTTTGTCAGTTCTACTTTCACAATATATCCAGAGTCCAGGTACTGCTCACCTCTTACCGCTAACCACTGGGGTATAAGCTATCATTAACTCCATCTGAATTATTACAGTAACTTCCTAATGGGTCTCCACTTCCCTCACCTCCCTGTCTTCTCTCAACACAGCAGCCAGAATGAACCTATTAAAGCATAATTCAGATACATAACTTTGTGCTCAAAACCCTTCAGTTGCTCCCCATTTCTGTTAAGAGTAAAAGCCAGAGTTACTTTAGTAACTTGATCACTTACCACACTCCTCTTCAGCCACACTCTCTTTGTTCTGCAGATGTGCCAAGTACACTCCTATTAAAAAACTTTGCAATTGAACCTCCTGCTCCCTGCAATTCTCTTCCCAGATGATAGTCTCATGCCTCAATTTTGGATCAGACTTTTTTAGAGCCCTTCCTGTCTCCCTCTCCCCCCCCTCCTCTTTTCCCTACGCATGCACACAGAAATGCATACTCACTGTTCCCCATCTCTGTGGTATTTTTCCCCACAGCCCATCAGCAAAGAAACTATGTCTTTTACTTATTATTGCCTATTGTCCCCATACTTGAATAAAAGCTCCATCAGGGCAGGGATTTTTTTTTCTTTTGTTCTCTACTATATTGTCAGCACCTAGAACAGTTCTGGTACATCATAGGTGTTCAGAAATACTTGCAGAATGAACAAATAAAGGAATAAAGAAGATCATTATAATCATAACATTTAATGGTTAATAAGACTTATGAGGTAAGCTTATTTATATTCCAAAATTCCTAGGTAACTTTGCCTTTAGCAATTTGGAAATTTGACCTTGCTTATTTTTTAAAAAATAAATCAATGGTAAATTAGTTTTACATTAAATTATCATAATATTCAGTTAATAAAATAGTCTAAAAATGTCCACTTTCTTAGCTGTGAAAAACTGGACTCAGAATTGGTTCAATCCTCTTTGTAGTATGCTAACTTTCATTCCTACTAGATTGCTTCCTTGTGTGTGTTTGCTTGTTTGTGTTGGAGTTGTCCTCCTCCTGAATAGGACTATATCTGGAGAAATCTTTTGCTGCGTGAATTCAGAGCATGTCTCTCAAGAATGGGTTTTATAGTTTCTCATGCCAGACATTTCTAGGTATGAACACCCTGGAACTGATTTTTATGTTATTTCTTAACTGTTTCCTAGCCAAAATAATGGTGTAATTTTGAACCCCAAACTCTGGACCCATCAGTAACTTGTTTCTTTGGACTGAATGTAGGTTTATTATTCCTTCTGTCTTCTTTTCTTCTTTGTGTAAAATTTTTAAACAATTTATCAACATTTACTTCTAATAGGTGTGTCTCATTCCATCAACACTTCCGTTCTAGGTTAGAGCTGTACTAAATTACATATTGGTGTTTCCTGCTATATCAGGATCATAACTTCCCATGTGTTGTAACTACATAATTTGATATAAAATTCTCATCTAATCTTAGAGTTAATTCAGGCCCAACTATATTCATTACTTAGGATAAAGTGGAAAATTTAAAGTTTGTTTTGAAAGTTGGCAAATATTTTTTTATTGATCTAGTTCTTTTTTCTTTTAGGTTTTGTTCCAACTCTGGGTGGCACAGAGTTCAGAGTTCTTTAGACGGTTAGCTCTGTTACTTTCTACAACTAATGCACCTCCTGGACCCTTACTTACTTCAGCACTTTTGCCTCATCGTATTTTATCTGATGTGACTCAGGGTCTACCTCATGCTCATTCTGCCTGCTTGGAAGAGCTGAAGCGCAGCTATGAGTTCTATCGGTACTTTGAAACTCAGCACCAATCAGTACCCCAGCGTTTATCCAAAACTCAGCAGAAGTCAAGAGAACTGAATAATGTTCACACAGCTGTACGCAGCTTGCAGCTCCATCTGAAAGCATTACTGAATGAGTAAGTTTAGAAGCTATATAAGGAAATGTCCCCATGATTAGCAAGCTTCATTCTTATGCCATTGTGGTTGTTGGCTTGTGTCCTAGCTAGAAAGAAGAAGCAAAATTGAGACATGCAGCATGAAGGATGGTTTATAGCTACAAATATAGCAGAGAAACGTGATATGTAAGTACTATATTGGGGGAGTCATTTATAGTTTTAAAAGTCATTGTTATATATAGCTATAGAATAGTACATTGCTATTTTTCTAAATAAACTCAGCAGATTTGAACATTTCCCTGTAGCACAGGACAAGGTTTTTGGACCTGATTGGATAGTAAGATGGAGGGTGCATATTTGTTGATCTTCTATTTTGCATGGTGTTGCTGATAAAATGTAGGGTGCAATCGCTTTGGTGAAGTCTTGTAGTATAGGACTGGATCAGATGGATGGCTGGGTTCGTGTTGTGTTGGTAATCAGGAAGGTCATAGGAATTTAATTAATTTATATGATTGTAGTTAGTGTACTTGACCCCGGCTACCAGGCAAGAAGTGGAAGGGAGAGGGTAACAATCAGTTTTATAATATAAAACGGGTCAAAGGGGCTTGAAGTCTCAGTAAAATCAAAGGACTAGTTTACTAGAGTAAAGGGGGATGTGGCGTACAGAGATAGGAAATTAAGGTCATAAAGACATTTTGAAAAGATAAGTTTTTTCCTATCAGTTCAAGGTCTGGTATTAGGTGTGTAAGGCTGGTGTCAAGGTTAGGTAGGGCACAGGGCAAAATTAAGAAACTGTGAGGCAGGGATGTTCCAGTGGTCTGTAGCTGCTATTCTAAGAAAGCAGGTGAATGCCACAGGGAATATGGCAGGTCAGGCGGTCTCAATGTGAGTGGGTAGCAAAGGTTGGGCTCTCATCAGAGGAAAACCAGATTTCAGTGGAAAGGTTTATGAGGTAAAGCCAGAGTCTCTAAAGAATTAATCTGTGGCAGTAGAACCAGAAACATGCTGGGCGTGAAGGAATGCGTTATGAGAGAAGATGGCTCTGGGAAGAAAGAGTACCCACTGGGCAGATATGCAAATGAAAAGGAGGGGCTTCGCTTCCTTGTAAGAGATTGTGGGATAATGATGGGAAGTGTATGTCCTGTTTTAAAATGAAGTATTCTGTGTTGCCTTTCAAAATATTTTAACTGGAGAGTATACCAGTAATTATCGTATCTGATTTGTTCTTGTTCTATAGCACTGCTACACACAACTTTTAAAAGTCTTATCTAAAAACTTTTTTCACTCCCTTTGCTGTTGTCTCCTTTGCTTTTCCCACTCACTTTCCTACGTGAAGACATTAACCCTTTAACTGCTCTTCCTCCTCCAGAGTGCTCACTGCTAGATAGTTTCTGAGGCATATATTTGCTTTCTCACTTAACCAAAACCTCACCTGGTTTCAGAGTATAGCAGCTTAGACTGAAGTCTATAAAAAAACATTTGGCAGAAAGGGTTTGCCATAACTGACTACCGTCTGCCTTTTTGTCTTTATTTCTCACTCTTTTTCCTTCAGTCCAGCCAAAATGTATGTTGCCTTTTCCTTTATTCCATCTGAAGTGACCTTCCTCATCTTTGTACACGCTCCAGTTTTATCCATCCCTCAATACTACCTCCAAAGTACCTCTTCCTTAGCCATCCCCTATCTGTACACATTGCTGGTAGCAACTCCCCCTCTTCTGAATTCATACAACACTGTTTTCATCTCTGCGATATTATACTTTTGTGCCTGGGTTCAACCCAGCTTTACAGTTTACCAGTTGTGTGACTCTGTGCCAGTTTCTTCAGCTCTCTGGACCTAATTCCTCATCTGTAAAATAGAAATAAAGTGCTAGTTGTAACTTTCATGATATTGTATTATATTTATATGTATATATAATTTCTGTGGTTCAGTTACAAGTTTCTCATCAGTAGAAGATGGGTTTCTACTACTTGGTTTGACTTGTCCTTTCAGGACTTACCTAGTATGCATGTAAGCACTATTTGTTGACTAAATATATAATACTGCTTATAAGCTTTTTTAAAAGTGTGGTAAAATACACATAACATAAAATTTACCACTTAACCATGTTTAAACGTATGGTTCAGTAGCATTGAGTATATTCACATTATTGAACAACTATCACCACCTTCCATCTCCAGAACTTTTTTCGGCTTATAAGCTTACTTTCTTAAATAAACCCTAAAAATCATAAATTTCCCATTTTATATTTTAGAAATGGTGAAACTATTTTCCTTTATTACTCAGGGTAATAATTCTTGAAGATGAACTTGAAAAGCTTGTTTGTACTAAGGAAACACAAGAACTAGTTTCAGAAACTTATCAAATCCTGGAACAGAAATTAAGGCTGATTCAGCCTCATGTTCAAGCAAGCAACAATTGCTGGGAAGAGGCCATTTCTCAAGTGGACAAACTGCTACGAAGAAATACGGATAGAAAAGGTACCTATGAGAGACTTCTTGTGCAGATTCTACTCCAGTATGATTTCATTAGGTACCTTTCTTGTCACCGTGATGAAACTGACTTGACAAAACTTCTTAGTTTACTGAAAAAGTGGAACTTGTATGTACAGATTGATACTGAATATAAAGTCTTGGTTCTTATTAATGTAAAAAAATCAATATGATTTGAAAGTTCACTGAATCATCTACCTAATTTTTAAAACCTTAAATGAAGGGATAAATATTAATAGTATTATTTATTATTAGAACTTCTAGAATCTCTTTTCCAGTTAGGGTAATAATGAGTTTGACATTCACAGGCCAGATACTGAGTTTTGCTTTTAAGGTAAAATATTTACTTGTGTTATTCAGAAATCATACACAATCTCACCTTCAACAGAAACCTAAACAACAAAACAAAGAAACAAGCAAAATATAGTCAAAGACACTGAAATAGAGGACAGGCTGACAGTGAACAGAGGGGAGAGAAGAGGGAATTACAGGGGAGAATGGGAAGGGTTTACAGGAACAAATTTAAAGGACACATGGACAAAACTAGGGGGAGGGTGGTAATGGGAGGGAAGTGGGGAGGGGTGGGTGGGCGGGCTGGAATGGGAGTAAAAGGGAGAAAACTGTACTTGAACAATGATTAAAATAAAAATTTTTTTAAAAAATGAAATCATATACAAATGCTACGACAGGTGGCACTGAGTGTTTGCTTCCAGGGGTTGAAGCTGCATTGAGTGCCATCACTTAATAGTAACACGGCAGTGCCTGACACTGCTAGGTAAAGAGACAGTCTTGAAATTCTTCACAAACCTGCTTTAACTTGACCCAGATTTCATACTTTGTTTGACTAATTTCACTGGAACTGTTTGACATATTAATTTTTAACTTGAGCTATAAACCAGTGCCAGGTTTATTCCTTAGACTTTTATGATGAGGCTAATCGGATTATGTACAGTAGTAGTATTTTTGCCAAAGGTAATTAATGTTTTATCATTCTGTTAGTCATTGTTTTGTTTAGAGTTAAATCAGTAATACTTTGTGTAATGTCTTAAACATGCTGAATAAGTCCTTAGATAGTAAATGTATTAACTTTTTTCAAAGGACATATTAACATAATAATTACTGATGTATTACCAGTAGATTTCCTTTATATCTGAAATGTAAATAGTGAATAATTTTTCCCCAAAGGATAAATTTGCCATGGATTTTTAACAGGTACAAATATTTATGCATTTAAGCTTTTGAAATGACCCAAGTCCATAGCTTTTGAGTACATTTTCTATTAATAGAAACACCGTTGGTGTTAAAAGATGCATCCTGCTTCCCCTCTTGGCATACTCTGAGATGTTGAATCTTAGTCACTCATTTAAACATGATTGTTAAGACTGTCTCTAGATTATTGGGCAGGTGATAAGCTATTTCTTAATTATGCTCTGTATATGTCACTTTTGTTCATACATGGTAATGATATGAATTAAAATAGAAGTAATTCACCAAACTTTTCTAAGATGCACATAGTGGCCATTTTTTTAATCCTCACCCAAGGACATGCTGCTTTATATTAGAGAGACAGAGAACATCAATCAGTTGCCTCCTGTAAGTGCCCGGACTAGGGATTGACCCAACCCCCCAACCTCCTGGTGTATAGGGACGATGCTCCAACCAACTGAGCCATCCAGCCAGGGCAGGTTGTGTCTTTTTTATTTTATTTATTTTTTTTAGTTATTTCAAAAATTATAGGAATATCGCAAGAATAGTTCACAGTACCCTTCATCCAGATTTCCTGGTTGTTCAAATTGGCCTTATTTATGTATCTGTATATAAATTCCTTTGGTGATACTCTGAACCATTTGAGAGTAAGATACAGACATGAAACCTCATTACCTATAAATACTTCCATTTATATTTTTTTAAAACATGGACATTCCCCTCATGGCCACAGTAACCATCAAGATCAGTAAATTAACATGGATACAATATTGCCGTCTAATCCACCAACCCCATTCTAATTTCACTGATTGCTCCAATAATATTTTTTAATGTCCAGATCCAGATCCCACATGGCATTTAGTTTTTGAGATCTTTGTTCTCCTTTACCCTTTCTTCTCTTTCATAATAATTATTTTGTGAAAGAAATACTTTGAGGTTATATAAATATCCTTTACTCATCAAAAATTTCCCCACTATTAAGCATTTACTTACTAAATGACTCAGTAGTATTATTCCTAGATATTTACCCAAGAGATATAAAAACTTAATGTTCACACAAAAACATAGACACAAATGTTTATAGTGGCTTTATTCATAATCACTAAAAACTAAAAGAAGCTCTTGCCCTTCCACTGGTAAATAGATAAATTGTTATCTCATCTATATAATGGAATACTACTCAGCAATAAAGAAATGAACTACTGATTGATCAATAAGGTAGAGGAATCTCTAATGCACTATGCTAATCAAAAGAAGCCAGGCTTAAATCACCACATACTATTCCATTTATATGACACTCTTAAAATAGTTAAATTTAATAGGAACAGAAAACATTAATGGTTACTAGCAGGTGGATATGGAGGGAGGAATATGGTATAAAGGAGCAGCGTAAGTAAATGTTCTGAGGTGATGGAACTGTTGTGTCTTTTGGTTGTTCATTAGATATTCACTCATTTCTGTGTGGCCTGTTTCTTTTTAAGACAAACCTGATGTGGCGTGTGAAAACCCACGCTGTACTGTGGTACCTTTGATGCAGCCTACTCTACACATTGCAGACAAAGATCCAGTCCCTGAGGAGCAGGTAAGGGTGAAAATTGCTTTTTCCCCCCTAAAGAAGAGTTTACCTACACAAAGAAATTGCTTTTTTCCCCCTAAAGAAGGGCTTACCTACACAAAGAAAATTGCTTTTTTTCCCCCCAAAAGAAGGGTTTACCTGTACAAAGCTTACCTACCTCTGTTATGTGACATGGTTAACTGTTGAATGTGTTGAATTTTTGTTTCTAATGAGCTTCAAAATCACAATATATTAAATTTCTATCAAATCATTAGTTCTTAGTGCCTTGAATTTTAATCCATTGAATCTCCCAGTAAATTTTCTTGATATACATACCTAATTGTCCATTTCTTAGACACTTACAAGTGACTAAGCACATTAAAAATTAGTGCCTTGGCAAAGGTGCCTCCTGCAATGCCTGCAGTGTTTTTCTCCCAGTCTGAGTGGCGGCACTGGCACGTGTACGTGCACACAAGTCCCGTGCACACAGCTTGTCTGACTGCATCTATGTTACACCTGGCTTTTGAAAACAATTTTTAATGCATGCATCAGATATTGACAAAGATTTATTTTGTTCATCCTAAGGAAAAGGAATTTTCCTTAATCCATCTTAATCCATTGAATCTACCAGGAAATTTTCTTGTTATTCATATCTAATCATCCACTTCTTAGACACTTAAAAGTGATTAAACACATAAAAAAAGTTTTCCTTACATCATATAGTCTATTCAGTATTCTTAATTGCAAAGGGAGACCAACCCTACTTAGTTTAACAAACAAGAAATTTTTTTAAAAATATTACATACCTGACAATATCTCAGAGGGCCAGGTAATCAGGCTTGAACCAGGCTGGGGTAAAAATCTTAAATATCTGAAAAGAGCTGTTCAAGTAGCAACATCAGTGCTAAATCACTGGGCGCGGACACTGCCACTCGCTCGTCAGTGCTACCTTCAGAACCTCTGCCTCTGGAAACTTGATCTGCTCCCTTTCTTACCGGAGTGGATTCCTCAAGATGACTGCTTCTTTTATAACAAACTTCAGAATCAGATCTGACCCAGGTACATCCAATTAGAGCACTCCAAGTCATTTGCCTGAGCAGAACTGCGAGGGAGGCTGTGTAAGCGGTGATCCTACCATCTGGCTTAGTGATATGGAGAGTCATAGATGAGATATTTCCCAATCCTAGGAATAGTGTTCGGACTTGTTGGAAAGGCAGAAGGCACCACAAATGTCTACCACAAGACGACTAACATCTGGACCACCTCCCCAGACCACCAGCCCTGCTCATTTTGATTGGTTTTGACAGAACTAATCACTGTAATCTTAACTAGAGCTGTAGAATGGTATCAGAGTAGAAAAATGATTGAAATAATTTAAACTTTCTTATTTACAACCCTTTTTAGTATCACTTAAGTTTTTTCAAGTTTTCCATTTATCTGTGTTTGCTGTTTCCCAACTGTGCTTAATGACCTGTGCCAAGAGTCTTCCTTTTTTAATCTTGGACATTAAAGAAATGAATCCCACTAGAAAATTATCTGCTTGAAGTAAAGTACTTGTTCTTTTATTCATTTTCAGGAATTAGAAGCTTATGTAGATGATATCGATTTGGACAGTGATTTCAGAAAGGATGATTTTTATTATTTGTCTCAAGAAGATAGAGAGAGACAGAAGCGTGAACATGAAGAATCCAAGAGGGTTCTCCAAGAATTAAAATCTGTGTTGGGATTCAAAGCCTCAGAGGCAGAAAGGCAGAAGTGGAAGCAACTTCTATTTAGTGATCATGGTAAGCACTGACTTCAGAGTAAAAGGTTATTTCAATGTAGGGGATTCCTTTTTCTTTAACTATGCATCTTATTTTTGTTATAGAATTCTTAAGGCACAATGGAAAAAATGTAATAAAGATTAAATAAAAAATAGAGTACAATCTGGAAAAACATTACAGCTATAAGGGATCTATCAGTAAGTATAGTCATAGACATAAAATCACTTCTAGACATAAAATCAACTTAATTAGAGTAGGTATACAATGAAATTGGGAATATGAAATCACACTTTTCATCAGGGTTTGGTTTTGGGGGGCGGGTTTTGACTAAATTTGTTTTTGGAATGGGCAGTGAGTTGAATAAATTAGAGTGTTTTCAAATTTCGTGAATTTGAGATTCTGAACTCTGTTCTCTTTCTGTTGATATTATAAATACGTCAGTGAAGCACAAAATAAATAACTGAGTTCATTAGTGAAACAAATAAATTAAGACCTATGCCACTTAGCTACATCATTAGGGTCACTCAGTGATTTGAGCACTGGAGTAGTGGGAGCAGAGGAGATGGTTCTGTGCACACTGTCTCCATCCCTGGATTTGGACGGAGTTGGATAACTGCTAACACCTAAGATTAGCCTTCAACGTGTTTACGCTTCCCACCCTTCTTCAGTTGAACTTCTTGGGAGGCAGGGAAAGGAATGAGGGGAAGCTTAATAATTGACAACATTAAACTAGCTAATTTCTAGATGAAGAATTAATTCCTATGGATTTCTAAGAAGGTAGAGTGGGATTTCCATTTTAGAAAATGTAGATCAATTGCCTTCTTTTCCCTTTCTCTTTTCCACTCAAAAACCTTCTGGAAAGTTCTTCAAGGTTATCTTTTCTTCTCTTAGAAGCCCTACCATTCTCATTCTCCCTTATCCAGATGTACATTTCTTGATTTTATCCTTACTCTTTCTTCGCATTGGCCTCTTTTATAGTCCAGGTCTCCATTAGATTATGCTCATGTATTATATAGCCTTTTTAGCTGACTTCCATTTTCAATGCCATTTTCGTCTAAGCTATCTGTAGAGATAGTTTCTAAGATTCTAAGGTAGCTTCTATCCAGATATTTCTGAGACAGAATATTGATAATGGCTCTCTATCTTAAAAACAGTGGTGCCCCTTTTTATTGTTTTAACTTCATTTCCTGGTCTTAAACCTTTTATCATATGAGTCCTTCATACCCAATTTCACAGTATTTCTAACATAGAGATCTTCCTCTAATTATATTTATCTAATTATACTATGGTTCCACAAATTTTCTGTTTTTATTTGTGAAAACATTCATGCTGATCCCTTTACCAAAAATTTATCTTCCCCAAGTTGTCCTCTCCACCAGTCTCCCCTGTGACTCCCCCTCTGACGGCTCCAGCCCTGCCACCTGGCCGACCACTACAGGCCCTCCCCCAGAGGGCACTGCAGTGAACGGAGGGCAAGTCCTGAGCAGCCAAGCATGGAGGACGTTAGGGTCTTCCTACAAGCTGCAGTAAAAGTATTCCTGTAACCTGCTTGTTTATGTAGTGGGCCTACATAAAGAGATTGAGAGATTGAGAGTATAATGTTTTAGGCACTGTTGTTTTCTCTCCATTTGATTATTTGTGTCTCTATAATTAGTCTCCTTAAATAAGGGTTGCATTCTCTGCAGTATTCATTCGGCAAATTATTCAACAAGTAGTTCTTAATACACTTTATTGTTATATATCCCTAGCACACAAATCAAGAGACAAAAATCCCTGTACTGCTGGGGGTTTATGTTCTAGCACAGCGTTAACACACTTGCCAGCTGACCCATTACACGGATTATGTCCGCCCCCCATTTAATCAGGAATACTCAGCAATAACCAGGAAAACCAATCAACTTCTAGTAAAAGTTCCATTTTTTAAACCAGCAGATTTATAGATTAAAACTGCACATGAAGATTGAAAATAGCATCTTATATATAAACTTGTACCCTTTTTTTTATTGTTTAGTATTTTCTTCATATGTCTTTAAAATTATCCTATTAACAATATGGACAAAGATAGAACACTGAGAGAAATGTGTTTCTTTTTCAGGTATGTGCTTTTGATAGTTTACATTTGAAAAGGCAATAATGCTGACTTAGTTTGTGAAAGTAAAAGCTGCTGATATCATAAAATGCTTTTCCCGTGAAATCTTTCAGTACGTCTTCCAGAGTTGTGTTCATCTCTGCCTGCAGGGGCAAAGTCCGAATGGAATTAGAGAGGGAGATTCTGCACTGGAACCTGCCGTGACCAGTTTTTTCTGTTGTTGCTGCATCTCTAGTGGAGTTACTGCAGCTTAGGGATCTGTTTCTTGAAAATGGACACGTTTTACAAAATTGCGTTTAAATAAACGCCAGATCTTCAAGACGCACTTTTTTTTTCTTCTGCCATGCTTCATAATATGTATGTTGTATTGTACTAACCCCTCACACTGGGAGGAGAGCCTGCCTAGCAAGCAACCCACTGCCTACTAACATCAAGAGGGGCTAAATAAAACTCCATTTCCCTTGAAAGGACAACTTCTGCCGTATGGATATATATTATACTTATGTATTATGCTTTGTGCTGTAGTTGATCTTGAACAAAGATTTTATTTCATTATATATTTTTCTGTGACATTACGAAATGTGTAGAAGTTATGGCTTTACTTTCATAGGGTCTTGTTAAGTGGTTGGCAAGTAAGTTGAATTGTATGTTTCATTTGTTTTTCATGCTGTTTTAACTTATAAACATATCTGTGTAGAAAATATGGTTATTATCTAGATTATTTAGGCTTTTTATCTGGCACATTTTCAGTGAAAGCCGTGCTACTTCTTTGTTAATGCAGTGGTCCTCGAAATTTAGTATGCATCAGAACAAAGCAGAAGGCTTGTAAAACACCACTGGAAGCCCCATGGAAATGGGACATTTTCCAGTTCAGTAGGTCTGGGGTGGGGCCTGAGAATGTGCATTTCTACCAGATTCCTAGGTCATGCTAACTGATGCTGTTTGGTTTGGAGAACACACTTTGAGAACCACTGCTTTAATATTTTAAATAAGAGAATACATGAGGTGTTTTAATCTTCATCAAAACCCCATCTCATTTTATTTCTTAAATATTTTATCTCTTAAAATATTCTCTGTATTTATAAATTTATATTGATTTTACTGAAACTTTTATTTAGCCTTTATTTATTCTTTATAAGAAAAAACCTACTGGAAGTTTAAATTAAAGTTTAAATTATTATTGGGTCCTTAGTTATTATTTTTCTTTCTTTCTTTTTGCTTTTTTTCCCCTTTAAAGCTGTGTTGAAACCCTTGTCTCCTGTAGACCCTGTGGAACCCATAAGTAATTCAGAACCATCAATGGATTCAGATATGGGGGAAGTTGGTAAAAATGATAATGAAGAAGGAAATAGTAAACCCTCCATAACTGACAATGAAATATGTAGTAGGACTGAGTATTTATGTGAAAACTCTCTAGACGGTAAAAATAAAGGCAATTCTACAAATGAAGGCTTCCTGCAAGGAGCTGAAGAAAGAGCGTGTTACCAGTGGGAAAGTGAAGACGACTCCCAGCAGGCAGGTGTTGGTGCCCTGACCCCTTCCCATCCAGCTCCCAGGGACTCATTCCAGCCCTCCATTAAGCAGAGGCTGGCGCGGCTGCAGCTGTCACCGGACTTTACCTTCACTGCCGGCCTCGCTGCCGAAGTGGCTGCTCGATCTCTCTCCTTTACCACCATGCAGGAACAGACTTTTGGTGATGAGGAGGAAGAACACCTACCACAAGAAAATGAAAATGAGGTAGAAGAAAAGTAAGAACCAAGATTTACATGAAGGATTTTCAATTGTTCCTTTTATGAAAGTGTTTTTTAGCTTCAAGACTAGATATTCCACTGGAAAGGGAAAATGAGTGTAAGTTTACTATATTTAAAGCTAAGATGTGAATTTACAGGAAGAACCCTGGTTTGAACAACTGTTCTGAAAATAGTAGCTACCTGTATGGCAGATCTTTTAGGAAAACGAGAGAAAGGTAAGGGCTCTTTTGAATAAACTGCTGTTTTATTCACAGCACAACTGATCGGCCTTGAAAATTCTTGAAATACTTTCATAACAATGAATTTACCCTTTCTTGCCAGAATTTGCTACCATAAAATGACTGGGATAGTTCTGTTGCAAGAATATTAACATTTAGTGTGACTCCTTTCTACAGTTTTCTTGCAGTTAATAACTGCAGCTATTATGTTAATAACAAGTTGTTTGTATTTTATTTTTGTTTATACCAAGTCTTAAAGATACAGGTTCTAAATAAAAAAAAAGTTTTCATGCAATTGATGTGTACTGGGATTTGGAACTAAAAATCACTTCTAAAAGTACTTGGGTTATGACATGTTTCTTACGTTTCCCTGTTCATGTGTATTCAGTAGTTAATTTTAAGATTTCCTAATGATACTTAAAAAAATGTACCATTTTAAGAATTACCCTTTTAAATTATTGCGTGCTTATCTTTTTCTTTTTTGTTGCAACTAGAAGAGCTTGTGTCAAAGGGGGATCCCTGTGGTCCATCCAAGTCCTCATCCCCAACTTTGCAGCAAGTTCTGACAGTTTGTCTAGAGATGATGGGTGTCACTAATGTAAACAGGCCACCAGGCTGCTCAGTTCTTACTTTAGGCTGTCCCTTCTCCTCCTGAGTAAGATTCTGGAAATATCTTGTCACCTTCCTGGAAAGCATCCTTGTCTCCTTAATACTTCATTCAGAAACTACCTCTTGAAAGAGATTGCTTTCCAAATTGTCCAGTCTCTTCTGTTTTGTTTTGTGTTGTGATTGCATTTTTCAAAGAGTGATAAATTTTTCAGGGGGATATTGTTTTTTGAAACCCATAGCTCCCATGTACTGACATAGTTTATAGACATTATTTGGGAGAAATGTAGGGATAATTCAATTTATGCAGCTGCCCTAGAAAGAAAATTCCATGATCGAGATTGCTTTAGAATTAAGAAACACATACTAACTCCTGCAACGTAGCACTTCAACGGAGTAAATTTTCATGAAGCAGAGGGTTTTCCTTTCAATAATGTAAGGAAATTTATTTTTTATGCTGAAGACAAACTTGTTTCTGCTTTATATGAATAGTATAGATCTTTTGAACCGTAAGTGATTCTGCCAGTTGCCAAAAATTCTGTGATTTTTCCATAACTAAACTCTTAGGAACAATTCCTAAGAGTGGGTCTGGTTTACAACTTAGAAATAAGAAAACCATTTAGAGTTTACTTTCTTTTTTAAATTACTTAGTTTGTCAGCTCTTTTTTTCCTTGCATTTAGAAGAAGTAATTAAGAGAAAACTTGGTAATTTTTCTCTTAATCTATAACCTTACACAGGAAAAATTTGATTTTAATAATTTTTAATTTTGTTACATTTTATTTTTTATTGCACCATTTTGGGAAAAATAGCTTCATAATATTTTATCAGTTTTATTCAGTGATCTCTAAAGTGATACTTTTTTAATTTTGAAAGGTTTATTTTAATCAAGAATTTCTCATCTTCCAGTCTGATATCTCTTTCATTCACTAGTTGTTACTTAGTTCAGTGAAAATTCTAGTTGCTGAAATCATTATATAATGATCTTAGAACTTTAATTGAATGTTCTTATGATGTTTGTAGTTTTCAAATTTTCTTATCTTTTAAAATATTTCCAACATAAAATATTATCTTTCCTGTGCAAATTCCTAATTTTCTTTCATAGTCGTCTGAAATCAGTGTTCTGTTTTTTCATGGGGGGGGGCTGTATTAAAATAAATTGGAGGTCTTGTTTTTAAAATGCAGATGTAGGGGCCATCCTCCCAGTAATTCTTAGTCATTCGTTTTGGAATAAGACCTTGGTGATGTTATGTCCAGTAAAATCTAAGAACCTCTGTATTGGACTTTACGCTTCTTGCCATGAATACCTTAAGAAATAAAACGGGACAATGTAATGTAAGCGGATATTCTTACTTGTTAATTTTTTAAGAATATTTCACTTTATCTTATCAGGCTTTTGACTAATTTTAATGGCTGCCATCCCACATCCAAAAGAAACTCTCTAGGGAAAATATTTTGCGGGAAAAACTTGTAATTGTGCTTTCCAAATTTTACAGTGGCATTTTGACAGGATAATTCTTGTTAGGAGTAATATCCTGACAGCTTTTAATATGAACTTTTCTATTGTTTTAAGCCTAGTACTTAATGTAAGAATGCACGAAAAAAGCTATTTAGATCAGTCTTGAAGACAGAATTTTTTGTCTATAGTTAGGAAAGTCATGGCAATAAATAATCTGGTAACAGTTATATATTATCTTAAATTATCTTTTTTCAGCTTTCATAAAAACTACATATCTGGCCTGTCTAGTGCCAGACTCTTGCTGGTCATTGATTTGTGGTCCCTGCTTATTTTCACAAGTTGTCTCTATTATCTGACTTAAGTCCTCATTAAATCTAATCGTACTTACAGCATCTGAATATATTGCATTAGGAAATGATACATTGACTCATTTGATTTATGAAGTTACCAGAGACAAGCAAATCAAGAGTAACACATTTAAGACAACTCAGTCAGGAAACTTAAGTATATTGGTTTAAGGATTTAATGCAGAAGGATAAGCCTAAGTTTAAATCACAGGCCCATCAGTTAAAAGCTATGGGTGCAGCTGACTTAGTAACATCACAAGATATTTTTCCAGCAAAACCCAAATCCTCCAGATTACTTAATGATGTTTGTGATTTCTGACTTCTCAGAAATAATTAAAAGTAAAACTTTTGAGACTGAAAAACAAGATCTGGTTATAAAAATGTTAGTAAAATAGGTCAAAAATTTAAAACTCAATTCTCTTAAAAAGAAGTAATATTCTGATTCACATAATAAAAGTGTTACAGCTTTTATTGTTAAAGCATAAAAAGAGTCAAGTTCTGATACATTTCACAGAATTATAAACCAATAGAGTGTTAGAGGGATCCTGGAAGACATTTCACTCTGGTGACGTATATACCACCAGTAATGTAAAATATGAAACATTTCAATAAATTATTAGAAATCATGTGGGAAGAAAAGTTCGATTGATTTGGTTTACTCATAGTATACAGTTTCTATACCTAAACAAAATAAGGAAACAAGAACTAAATACCGTAAGACTTGGTATAGCTCAGCCAACTCATGATTTGAACTAAAGGAGGTGTCACGCCATGAACGACAACCAGACAAAACATAAAGGTTGGTTTGTTCTCCCAGTTATATTTGTAAGAGCATACACGTGCAACTCACTTTATTTTAGAAAATGAAGTGACAAATATTTTAGAGGAGAAACTACGGGGAAATTCCCTAAGTGTAGTAACAGTTGATTTATCTGTAATCATTGATGGATGGCTAACTTGTATAAGTTAATTTTTCAGGTAACTGAGACAAATCCATTTTATCATTAAATATTTTTGACAGTCTAGTAGAAAATTTTCTAAAATGTACTTTCTACTTCACTTTTTCTAGAGTATTGAGGATATAATTTTAACTTTTTTGTTGTTGTCTTTAATCACATCAATTCCTATCATGGGGTAATAGTCAGAAACTCCCCCTTCAGGGCTACTGACACCTATAATGCCCCTTTACTACAGGATTCTGTATTGCTATGCTTTCTGAGTTATGTCTGTTTTTCACAGTTTCTCTGTCTTTTCTTATAATCAGCTGTCACTTTTTGCTCTGTCTTGTGTGCCTGCCTCCTGCACTAGGCCCCTAATTTGCTGCTTCTAATCCGCTGTGGACTGAGAAACCAGATTGCCAAGCTTGCTAGAATTGTGTCTAAAATAAGAGTAAGTAGACTGAAGAAGGCTGAGGGGCTTTTCTGTCCATAAAGTGCATGGACCTTGTGGAACTTGTCTGGCTGTTGAGCGTACTTTTGTTTGCCTCTTAGTTCTTTTCTAAGAACTTGCTAAAGAACATTTGGTTATATATATGATTGCCATATATTTGAAGTATTAATTCAGTTTCTATATATTGATGTTTCTAGGACTCTCCATTAATGAATTCAGATATAGAAGAAAATTTGACTGTCATCTTTTTGTGAATCGTTGTGTATAGCTTAGGGAAATGTTAAACATTTTGTTCTTAATTGTTCCTAGTATAGTATACAGACTTAAAACTTACAGCACTGTAAATGTGTCTTCAACTCTGTTCACCAAGATTTATACTCTAGAACTGTTGGTTTGAGACTAAACATGCATGGCTAATTTAGTAAGAACTGGGTAACTGAATTTTGGGAGAATGAGTCATTCTAGATATCCCAGTTTTCTATGGAGCTTAAACTAAACATGAAATTTTTTGGAATAAGTTTTGAAGGAAATCTTTTAAAAACGTAATATACATTGCTGTCTTCTTAAATGATATATGAAATATATTTTAATCTTTTTGATGTCAAAATGGTCATTATTAATAGTAGTTATTACTTATAATGTGATAGACTAGGCATTGAGATCTGTATGTCCTTTACTAAATGACTCCATTCTGCTGTGCTTTTTTCCTTTACTTGTCTTGGCTTTTTAATAGTTCTGATTCCTCCAGTTTATGTCACTGCTTGCTTAAGTGTGCCTGTAGCAATAGCCTTCCTCCGTCCTCACAACACTCCTCCTAGTCTGCTTTGGTCTTGAAAACAAGGTGACTGAGACTGCTAGAGTAATGTATAAAGTGAGAGTAAATTGGACCCCCCCCCAAAAAAAACAGGATTGTACTTAAGCACATGAATTTTGTGACATCTATTACTTTAGTACACATTTCATTACTATCTTAAAAATAAATGAAGTTACTAGGTTAGATACCTGCTCTCAAAATAGAAGAGCTTTCATTGTACAGAAGGAACCATTTTGTTTTTATATATTACCTTTTTGTATTTCTATCCTCTAATTAAACCAAAAAAATTAGTCCACTCAAACTAGCATTTTCTACAGTATTTCCACTTAAATTGGATATCACGTGCTGCTAAGAATTTTTTTGGCAAGGCAGTTTTTTATTGTTTTGGTTTTGTTTTTAGAGCAGTATATCTTCATTTCGAAAACATGAAGTGGATTGAGTCCTGAAAAATAAGAAAACAATATCTTAATTTTCATTCAGTTAATTGTATGGTAAAATCTTGCCAAAAGTTATCAGTGTTAGATATAATGATATGGAAATTCCTGTTGTCATTCTATATTTTGCATGTTTAAGTTATCATTTAATATGTTAAGTAATCAAGCATGATGATTTTTTCTCTTAAATGAAAAATAAACATGAAATTTGCATGTTACAATGTTTGTAAGTAAAATTCAAATATGTCTAGAAGGGGATATTCTAGCATTTAACAACTTAGTTTTACCAACAGGCTGATTGTGTTTTAGTAATTATGTGAACATCAATACTTATTTTATGGGCATGCCTCATAGTCAGCTTTACATTATTCATGTTACTGGACAGGAATTATGATACAATATTCATTTTTAAAAGTAGATAATCCAAAATAGCTCTCGAGCTGAGACTGCCGTTACAGAAGTGAGAGTCACAATGCCAAACCCAGGTTGCTAGTATGAGGAGAAAAATTCTCTGTGAGTGTAGTTGGGGAATAATAGTGATTGAACTCATTGTGATTGCTGTAAACCAAAACAAGGATGAATCCAGGATTCACATATACAGAAAATATGGATAAGGAGTTGATTCTATGGATATCCTAAAATGTGTGATAAATTTAATGTATTTTAATGCTGTATTTAATGCTATATTTTAATATGTTTTAACTGTCAGCAATTAAATTAGTTTTTTTTTTCATTCCCATTTATTCCATTTGGCACACACCAAGCATCTTAAAGGTTGGCTACCTAAAATTAGTTTATTTTATCATTGAACATTTTTTTTTCTAAAACTAAAGCATGTCTTCTATAGGCTATTCTTTTATAATATCCTAAGAAATTACACACTCCTTTCCCCTCCCAAGTAAGTTCTTAAATTAACTCCATTTCTAAATCAAAGTATTTCTGCACTTTTATTTCACCACCTGTAGTACCTTCTGTTCATACTATGACGTAAATAATGCTTACTCAGGCACAGTACTGGCATCTGGCAACATACAGAAAGCTCCAGAAATGTTATACCTATTCCTTAAAGATTGCCGTATGGTCCTCGTACAGCCCTGGAGGTCCATGTAAGTGAAAGAGCCCAGAAGTCTGCCTGAGCTGAAAGCACTCCCAAGGAGTTTGGTTTTGTTTGGGTTTGTTCTAGGTATGGTCCCAGGGATCCCAGATCAAACCAGGCCCCTGGGCCTATCCTAGAACCAACCTAAACTCGCGCATCATTCCTGGACCGTCAAGAGTGTGAAGACTGAAGATTACCTGAGGCTTACTAAACATCCTACGCTTACCAAGACTCCTTTATGTGTGTGTGTGTGCGCGCGCCTACATTTTAGCAAGAATTGTGTGGTTAATCCTTCTAAAACTAAAGAGATAACAATGGATAACAAGATAAAGCCTTGCCAGATGTTGACATAGTAACTTGTCATAACAGAAATGTGATAGGTAATATGGTCATTTATTAATTGCCAGTGAGGAGACCTGTACTTGTAACTTTTATTATTGAATCTTTATTTTTAGGTTAAAGAATTTAGCCACCAAAAAAAAACTCTCCCCCAAATTAATTTCTGTTTTTGTTTTTGTTTAAGACTTTCTACTCAACAATATTATACCAGTCTCATTTAAGTAATTGTTCCTAGTTTCTGAAACGCATTGGTCTTTGCCTTCTGGCTCCAATGCTAAGTAATTATAAACTCCGGTTTTGGGGGACTCATTTTCTTTTACTCTGTTACTGAATCTACCACATTGCTTTGAGCTCACTTTTCGAGGTTCAGATCTGGGGAGAACAATAGCATCATTTGCTGACACGCTGTCCCTTGCTGGGCTCATTGTAGACTGCACTTTAGAATCGGCTGTGGTTGACGAAAACAGGCTAAGATGATAGAGTGGAAATGGGCTAATACCTCACATTTTACAAAAGTATTTTGTAAAATAAGATTTTTAGTAAGTTTCTTGATTTTCATTCCCAGCTGCTTGCTCTGGATTTTAAAAATATTCTGACCTTGTTGATTCATTACATGGTCTTGTGTCAAAACTGTGACATTGCTGTGGCCACATACAAATTTTTGTTTGGGAGGGCCGGATTGCTGAATGGGATTGAAAAGGCCCCAAATCCAAAGCTCTTATGATGCACATTGCCAGTGAATACTTTCGGGATACTGGCGTTTCAATAGATTTAGACCCTGTTTGAAATAACTGCAGACTAATCAGGGAAGGAGCCAAAAACTGTGCTATTCCTCCAAGCCTTGTCACACCAGGAAAATTGGGTCAGTGGGTTATCCTTTAAAATAGAACTGAGCTCATTCTGAACAACTCACCCCTGCAATTAGTTCTGTACTACATTCATTGCAGAGATGCTTCATCCCATGAATTTTGTTATTTTTACCTGTTAAATCTTACATATGTTCACTCTTCTCTCTCAGTGTTTTCCTGTTTGCATAAATCAAAACACTATATGTGTTACTATGTATATTTTTTGATAAAACAGTAGACTGGATCTAATCATCTTTGGATATTGATTCCCTTTTAAAGCCCAGTGATTTAAATGGCTTTATTGTCTTGTAAATTCACTCTTAATTTATGCTTCAATACTTTTCGTTCATTTTTCTCTAATGAACTACATAGAATTGCAAAGATGAGCCTTATATATCCATTCTTTCAGAAGTTACAACATTTTGTATTCACCCAAATGTGCAAATGTTCTAACACTAGTAATCTTGTGTCCGTGCACTAATCTGTGTGCATAGTTCACTGTTTCCCCGACATAGCCGGAAATGATGCCTGAACCCACCCCACGTTTCTGTACACTAAGTGTCCTCAGTGTGTGGGGGGGAGGGGAGCTTTGCACTCTCCTTTAACATTGTTAAATGTGAACACATAATAGGAATTTGTGAACTGTTTTACAGAATTCAGGCTTGTTTACATAGTAAGTTTCTAAAGTCTGCCTTCAATTCAGATAACTTTTGAAGTGTAAAGCTGTATTTTTTAAATATCATTTGAGAATATTCTTTCAGAAATATTTTAATTTTTACTTTTTGACTACTTATGTTTTATATAGAACTACGTTACTTACCCTACCTGACGACTTGAGATTATAACTTTTTTTTAACACCGCACTTTCTTTGATAGCTTCGTGTGTTTTATCGTATTGAATTTTGTCAACTGTTGTAAAGGATTTTATAAGAATACGATATGTCTGTAATATTGTTCTTCCTCCTGAGCGTAAGAAGTCTCCAATAAAATCTGCACTTCTTTGTCTTTTTTGTGTGTACCTTTTTTTATTCTGGTGTTTGCAACATGGATTAGCCAAAGATAGAATTCTATTTTTCTTTTGTCTCTATTTTTCTATCCCTGTGTTTTTCAGAATTTGTTAATATACCACAAAAGACAGCAGTTGCCCAAGAAAGCTGGGATTCGTTGGTATAAGTTTTATTTGCTCATTTATGTGGCTCCTATGATAACATATCATAGTGAAAACAGCAGATTAAATTTAAAAGTTCCATTTTCACCAGCAGCCACTGGATACGATCTCATCATGTTATATTTGTTGACTTACATGACTCCCCACCACCACCAGAAAAGGCAAACTGAATTAAGAAGGAAGTTAGCATCCAATCGGTCATCCTTTGTGCTATGTAATTGAATGAGTTACTGGTTTGAATCTTTCTGAGCTTAGCCTGGGAGCATCTGCTGGTTAAAAAGAAAGTGGCCTTCCTTGAACTGAACTCTTAAATAAATAAGCTGCCTCTTTCCAGAAAAGATTTGAGGCAAAGAATAAATACTTATAAAGGCAAAAGTAAATCCCTGACAAGCGGCCCTTATCTGGGCTTTCCCAAATCAAAGCATGAGACAAGGAACAATGCGCATGGTTACTCTACCGGATTCTGAAGTCACTGGGCAGGAAATACCCCATATGGTAATCACTCCTTGTCTTCACGATTTGCTTCTGAAGGTCTTTAGCAGATGTGCTATAACCATTGAAAATAAAGTTGGCAAATAGTAATTTTCCCTGGATGTACATCTGTAAAATTTAAAGAATGTTTTTAGAATCTGAGCATATGAAAATTAGTGCTGTTTATTTGACAGGAGATCTTGTATCCCTATGAGAAAATGTTTATATGCAAAGTAATACTAGGCACCAAACATGTCCCTTAATTCTGACTTACAAATTGGACTAGACCTCCACCACTAAATTTTCAGATTCTCTATTTCTTAAGAAAGAGAAACTCTACTACGTAAAGCCAAGTTTTTCCGTTCTGGGTGCAAGAGACCCTGTTTTTAGGCACAGGTGTGTAGCTGGGAAGATATTCATTCAACTTTTAGAGATTAGAAAGGATAAAAGAAGAGGTCGCAGGGGAAGGAGATAGTAGTTTTTTTTAAAAGTATAGCTGGTTCCAGCACAGAACTTTATCTGCCAAGAACTCAAGTATACCTTGTGTTGTAAAGCAATCTGATGCAAGTACTTAAAAGGGGTGTAAGAATTCAAAAAGAATGCGATTACCTGTTATTCCTTCCCCCCTAGATAACATGCATAATCTTTTCATCATGAAGAGATATCCTAAAACAAGGTTTCCTCTGTGAGAATGGAATTTTCTTGTGTATGTTCATTTCAGCAACAAAAGAGCCCATCTCCTGTTTCTCATCTAGGACAACCTCGAGGCTGGCTGAAATGAGTTCTTTGTGGTTCCTTGCTAGGAAATGCTTTAATCTTTAGCAGTCATGACTATTAGTCATGAAGACGCTTATCTTGCCTGAACTTAGAAGATTAAGCTATGATACGTGGGTAATGAGAGCCAATATCAAGGTTACTTTACACAATATGTGATATATGTGAATATTTTATAAGATCTGAAGAATACAACAGGTAATCTCTTAAACAGTGACACAATGGTGACTTTTAGGCAGTTTTCTTTTTTCAACACAAACGAAGTATTTGTATGAGAGGAAAAGAGTGTAGTTTCTAAGTTGAGAATGTGCACAGTTTCATTGTTATTTTGGGTTTATGTTCATACATAAGAAGAAAGCTTTTCAGTCTGTGTGTATTCCAGCCATCACCTCTTAGGCTCAACTTAGGGTCTAGAGAAAAGGAGGCAATGCTGCGATGTTTTGTTCTTGCAAAACTAACTTGGTCAAATACAGAAGAATATTAGACTGGGAAAACATTAAGTTTGTGTATTTCCAGAGGCCA